TGATACCCAATCAACCTGGAAGCAACCAAAACACAAAGTTTATTCTTATATAATCAAGATAATCAATAAAATTGGAATCACAGAACTTACCCCGTGTTTCGAACCCGAAACACGTACCATACCTGTTCCTTGCACTCACCAAGGCTAAGGTCATAAACAAATATCCAAGTAGAAAAAGATAATCACAGTAATCAATCAAGAACAAATGAACATGTGATGGATATATCATATATGATCATCTGTAGATCATTTCCAAAAAAATACGTTTACACAGAACAACAGATTAACACTAAGTTAATCAAGTAAACAGTAAAAACACATATGCAACAAATGCATAAATGACCCCAAAAAAAGATCTCACCACACTTATCATATCTCATTCGGTGTTGTTCTCACCTCGAGAACACATATCTCACATTATCGTCCACCATGCTCACTAGACCGATTACTCAATTCATGTCTAACAGGTAGACCTATATAGATCCTAAGTCCTTAGGATAATCCTCTATTACCACTTCACTTCTCCGAACCTAAGTAGATAATGAGTCTCTACCTAGAAAAAGTGATAGAAGTGTCTCTCTCACACTCTACCTGATCAGGGTCTCTTCACAAATAAATGATTCCAACATTTAATCATCATCCACTCGTGATCCATATGTCATACTCCACATCCCTGGTACAAACCACCGATCTACCCCTAGGCATCGATACTCCATCTCATCAATAGACAATCAACACGGATACTGCTAATGCATCTTAACCTACTATGCATATGCATGCAAACAATTACACCAAGTAATTAAATTGCTCTCAAAATTCATGCAAATACACATGTCAAATACATTAAAATGCACATATAACCATGCAACAAAATTTAGCAATCATACACACATGCAGAAAGAATTACACACAGATGCACATGCAGTAACTAGGTTTACTCTCAATAAACACATTTTCTTTGCCTCTCATCTTACCATTCAGCTTATCCTTTTTCTTGGGACGGTCCATAATAAAGTACCCAGCCTTACCACAATTGTAACACTATCTACCACTAGACTTGTCTTATCCCTCATCATTCGAAATACTACTCGACTCACCGTTGTCTTGCGCTCTCCCCAAATTCATTTGCTTAACCTTCATTCTACTCCTCATCATATAATTGTCTTATCCCTCATCATTCGAATTACTACTCGAATCACCGTTGTCTTGAGCTCTACCCAAATTCATTTGCTTAAACTTCATTCTACTCCTCATCATATATAACTCGCCACTTCTCTTGTCATCTTTTTCAATTTTAATCTCTATCTCCTTACTCATAAGGGAATCTATGACAATCTCGGGTGTTAAGGTGTCCCTACCATACTTAATTGCATTCTTAACCTCTCTATATGAATCGAGCATAAAATTTATCAAAATAATGTCCTTAATGTATCAGACACCTTTTTATCACAATTAACGACATCCTGAACAAGTTTGTTGAAAATATTCAGATTGTCATCAAGATCCTTTGAAGAATCTATTTTAAAACGAAAAATCTTTCAAGTAAGTACAACTTATTATGAGTAGACTTAAGCAAATATAAATTATCCAACTTCTGTCAAAGTTCGTTTGTAGAATCAAGTTTTTCAACTTTTCTCAAAATAGTGTCAGATATGTGTAAAATAATTGAAGTGTAAGCAAGTTCATCGTATTCTTCTTTTTGTGCATCCGTCAAATTTACAGAAAATTTGTCATTTATGACTTTTGAAACTTTTTGTTGAAATAATAGAAGTGTATGCAAGTTCATCATATTCTTCTTTTTGTGTTTCTATTAAATATGCAGGAAATTTGCCATCTTTGGCTTTTGAAACTTTTTGTTGAACCAAAATCTCCTTCATCTTTTGTTACCAAATTGAAAAATCTCATTTCCTATTGAAAGTTCCAACTTCGAAATATGAAGACCTTTTGAAAAATAGTGCACAAATAGATCATACAAAATAATCCTAAGACCGTAATAGACTATGTTCTAGATTCCAAGGATTTTGTGTGACTTAAGGTCTCAGATCAAGGGAATGTTCAAACGGGTTAAGTCTGGGTGTTCTAATAAAATAATCATTACAATACGGAGGTATGTCAACAAAAGTTCAAAATTTTCACGCAATGTAGTCTCACACAATAACTAAATTACAGTTAAAACACCAAAGCAATTACAAACTTGCTGTCAAAATCAACATTTCAAATAGATCAAATAACTCCTAAATTTCTAGCGCAAGCAATGTTATCCCACACGGTAACCTCAATCCAAATGACACCCCATACGGTGACGCGCTAATGCTAAAATTTAAATTCTGATGAGTCAATTTATCAGAGCGGACCAATCTGAGTCCGTAAATAAAGATATATGTGAATTTACTACTTAGGACCACCACTATTCACCCTAAAGTCTCCAACAACTGTAGCAACACTGAAACACAAAATCATAAGAGCAAAATCGTCTAATTTTTACTGTATAACCTGAAAAAGAAAACTAACAACACCAAATCATTAGAAAACATATTAGAAAAATTTTTTGTCTTGAGAAATTTTCCTAGATGACACCGGATGTGCCTCCACGTGCTGATGCCAGAACTTTCACGCACCGCCTCAATGGTCGTTACCACCATGCGTAGTCGACCTAAGAGCACCTCCACCAGTAGATCAAGGTTCTGGCCACCGTTTCCTCAACCACCTTCTGGTTTGGTCGAAATCGTTGATTGGAGGTCCGATTTTTGGAAAAAATTTGGACAGTTTCGTTCCAGCTGCTTTTTGCTTCAATTCTGGATGTTTTCAGATCAAATTTTGCCGAAAGTCCACCACCGATGTAGCTCTAATAACAATTGTAGAAAAATTGAGCTTCGATTTGGTGGAATCCCTGCTCAGTTTATCTACCTAATCGAAATCAATCACAATCAAACAGTTGACTCCAACCCACAACTACTACTATAACTTTTGGTTTTCACTTCTAATACACATGCAAGGAACACAAGTATGGTGATGTTTTCCAAAAAAAAAAAAGGCCACATAGGCAGAGAACGGGCGAAGGCACGAAGAAGGAGACGGAAACAGCCATAGTTTCTCTGTAATATATTCACAAAGCAGACACACGTTTCCAACACATCGAAAATGGGTATAAATAGGTTAGTTTAGGTTACCTAGATTTGGGCCAATATTATCCAACAAATGGGTCAACACTAAGATAATTGGGTTAGACAATCCAAGAGTTATAGTGGCCATGAGCAATATTAACTAATTAAGTTGCGTCTAATGGTCTTAGTTGTTTTCGTGTTGAGCCTATTGATTTTGTTGATAGTTATTTCACTTATCGGTCGAGACCTATGAAATATAATCCATATAATTTGCATGAGATTTATTGGGTATCAAAACCCAACAATGAGCTCATTGTTCTTTGTTCGATTTCACCTTCATAACTTGGTATTTCGAATTCAACAAGGCAGATTTTACAAACTCTACTTTCAAAGGCTAGTTTTGAAAATTTCAAGTTTGCTTGGAGTCTTATGTTTCGGCCTGAAGGTTTTAAGCTTAAATTCGGGCCGGAAGGTTCTTGAAGTTTCGTGAAGGTTTTGGCATTGCTTGAACTTAGATTCAGATCGTGGTGCTGGTCAGATTCAATCTTCAGATTGAAGACAGTTGTTGTTGGGTTTTGTCCAACTTCATTAGTGGTTTGTTCTGAGTTGCATTCCCCTTCGGTGATTTTGAATTTCTGTGTGCTTATATCGAATTTTGCCTCTTCACTTCGTAAATTCGAACTCGACAACAACTATATTGGATTAAGTCCAGGCCTGTGATCGAGTTTCAGCCCCTTGGGATTGTGAATCAGTAAGCAGGCTGCCAGTTTTTGAGTGCTAAGTTCATATAAAATCCTGTATGTTCTTGCCATTGTTCATGAAAAAGATTTTGTTCATGAAGATTCATGTGTGTAGGGTCAGCAAGTTTTGAAGATTCAGGTTCGTGGTTTGTTGTTTTTTACTCAATTGGGCAATAAATTAAAACTTTATTATTTTCAAATTGCCCCTGTAGTAAAACAGGATGGTTGATTGCTTTTGCAATCTTATGTTGCTTGTTTTAGCAAAAAAAAAATTCAATTTTTTTGTACTTTGTTTTGGCCTAATTTCAAAAACTTTCCAAAATTTTTTTTGAATTCGGCCTATGCTTTTGTCTGTTTGGCCTTGTACTAGGGCAGCATTACATTATCTTCAAATCCAGCTATGTAGAATACATCAAATCAATCCAGATTCGAAGATTATGTTTAATGATCTTAACGTCTTTCAAGCTGTGATTCACGGTCAGCATGGGTATGAACTTTATTGATAGATTCGTATTTCATTTCCTCTAGGAAGATTTGAAATTGAACTATAGTTTAGCACTTTGTTACTTGTTTCGTCAAAGTTATAATGCCTTGATTCATATTCGTCACTTGAATTAGGATAATTTGATTATTGTAATATCTTATTTCGTATGTCATGGTATATCCGAAGTAATTGTACTCAAAATTTTGATCATTACAATTTATTTAGTGAATAAAAAGAAAGTTCATAAGATTGAATAATTCAATTTTCTTAAATTAAGATTAACTAATTTGTAATTTTATATTATATAGAGAATCAACTATTTGAAAAGGGCTATGGATCTTGAGGTTTACGAGCAAGAGGATATTTTAGCCTATGATTAGCTCCCATTTTTATTTTAAATTCAATTTTTCTAAACTCATTTTCTGCCACATATTCTCCCCTAAAATAATTTTACATGTAAATTGAAAATTTTTCCTTCTATTTTAACTACATATTTTCCAAAAAAATCACTATTTCAAAGTACAGTTTCTTACTAAAATAGGGCTCAAACATGGGCTTATATCCTAACTATACTAAAAGTGCTAGTTTTTTTCTTGGATAGATGTCGGCTTCTTCAATCATCAACCAAAACTACGTAGTTTTAGCATTTCCCCATTTGTTTTCATTCCTTAGATTTCTCGGCTGAAGCTGTCCGCCCTAATTACTCCTGGTTTTGTCTGCCACTGCATTCGTCGCCGACGCCTGAAAGGTATGTTCTTTCTGCCTGAAATTACATATCGCACGGTCTCCGTGTCTGATAGAGGAGACCCTGTTTTCTCCGTGCACCTCTGTGCTACACGGAGAAAAACTCTGTGCTACACAGACCTTAAAATAGAGGTCCAATACCCTTGAGTTTGACATTCCTTGAACTGGCCTTCGTTTTTGCCTATTGAGCAAAGAGTATTTTCATTTTGCATTCCAAGAGAAGATAGATGGGATAAGGAATTTTATCAATTACAGAGGGGATAATTAGTTTATAAAAAAAGTTATTTTCTTTAGTAATTTGATTGGATAATTTGAGGATTTTGGATGTGGGTTCTTCGCAAGGATCTGCTTTTACGGCAAACATGAGAGATTTTGTTGATAAATCATCTGTCTGTCAAGAGGTTAAGTATTTGGATAGTGTGCATGTATATGTGAAAGAGTTGATTGAAGGAGGCACTACTGGTGCATTCACTAAAACTGCAGTTGCACCTTTGGAACGGATAAAAATCCTTTTGCAGATGATTTTGTTCTACCTTTTAATATTTTTGTTCGTTTTATGGCGTTGATTGATAAAAGCTGATTATAATAATTTGTTCAAGATATTGAGTTGTTATTTGTTTAACTAATTGTTAAATTGTACTTGATATGTTAAAACTTACGCTATGTATTCACTTGGATGTTAAGGGTAACTTGTATGTGCAAATAATAATCTAAAAATAAGTAGTTTTTGATGGATTTTCGACACGATAAGTTGTAATGATGCATAAAAAATAGGGGCCTTAAGATTGTTTCTTTCTTTTGTTTTAATGGCGGTTACAACAAAATATTTGTGGATTTGAAATTGTCTGCTTCTTCCTTCGCACATTAGGTTGAAATTTAATCTTTGATGTAGTTAATTCCCGGCTTCATATTAACGATATAATCTCTCTACATGGTCCCTTAGCTTTGTGCTGCCAAAGCTGAATTTTAATATTTAGCCCTTGTTTGGTGAATATTGATATCATATTTTAGTAGATTTTGATAAAAGTTGATGAAATGTATGGTTGAAAAGTTGTGGATTTTATGAAATGTATAGTTGAAAAGTTGTGGATTTTCATTGTTGACTTTGACTTAGATTAAAATCTGAATTTTAATTTTCATCAAATAGAGGCTTAATATTTTCTTGGCTTTATGAAGTATATTTATGTCTCTATAGCTTTTAAGAACGGAGTCATAATTGTCATATTTCTATAACTGTAGTTTTTGTATATTTATTCATTAACCGAGCCTCTTTCGTTGACTTTTGCTGTTATGCGTACGAATTGTTATTCAAGTTGTTCCGTTTAGACATTCATAGTATTTTTTACTCTTTCCTTTCATTTTCTAGACAAGAACCAAAGATTTTCGTTCCCTTAGAAAAATATTGAATGAATGTTAGGGCAAACACTTCCCTTGGTTATTTGGAAGTCATCGAAGTTAATTCTTCCGTTTTAATATTAAGATTTTCGAGTAACAATGCAAATGATCTCCTCTATTCTTCGGTAGTTATCTGGCTCTATTGCATTGACAATACGTGGTGACTGTGATTTTATAACTAAGGCTAAAGCTGCACAAGCTGGAGGAGTGTCAGGATTGCTGGTGATAAATGATGATGAAGGTTGTTAGCTTACTTACTGAAAATCTTTTCAAATGGTTTATCTGCTCATCTATAATTTCTGTCTCAGTACTTGCACTTAACTTTGATCTTTGCACATGTGCCTGCTTCCCTGCAAACTTGTATAGATCTTGTGGAGAAGGGTTGTCCTGAAAATGATACTACTTTAAACATTACAATTCATGTTGTGATGGTCTCCAAGTCAGGAGGAGAGCAAATAAACAAATCACTAGTGGAGAGAAAAGTATGCCCTCATATCTAATTTTGTATGCGGGCGTTGACTGAGCAGCTTGAGATGATCCATATTTAGAAGCCTTGTAGATTCAAGTTAATATTTAATTTTTGCATCTGTGAATGCATAATTGCATGAACTGCTCCATCATTTATTCTGCTACTATTGAGTAAAATATGGTCAGAAATATCTTGGAACGATGAATTGATGTTCATATTTACTTGGCATCCATTTATTAATTTTCTGTTATAAGTTAATTTATTTTGAAGTTGTGGCTAAATTTGTCTAAATATATGTGAATTTCCATATCAATATGATTGATGTTCATTATGAGGACAACCATGTGGCTATTGGGTTTGGTATCACCTTGCACGACCTCTTCTCCATGATGAATGGCATGAGAACTTGACGTTTGAAGAGGTTGTCGTACTACTGGAAAAATGCATGCATGTGCTTCTGTATCGCGATAGATCAGCCGTGAACAAACTTCAGGTTTTGTTCTCCCTATGTGGAATACATACTTCATTACTTCTGAAAATTGTTGTACTGTTTGATGTCTGATTATTTTCTGCTATCTCTTGCTACTCACTTGAAATTTGGAGCAATTAGAAATATCGTGATGTTACAAGACTAACTTATATCATGAAAACAAAGTTGTTTCATATGCCCGAGATTGTTATATCTAACCAGCCAAAACACATATTTGTTCTGCACAATATATCTTATGCATAGAAAAAAAAACTAGGAATTTGAGGTGCTTTATGTAATTTATATTTCATGAATCCCGCAATTACTAACAAAAAGAGGGCAGCTGAGAAATCAGGGGATGGGGGAGGATATAAAGAGGTAATCGAAGCCCATTACGCATTTCACACTATGCTTTACGCATTGCATTGGAAGTGGATGAAGGAACTTTTGTTACAACTTTCGGTACTTGATGTTAATCTTTATGACGAGCTAGATTTTGTTGTTGTTGTTTTGAGCTTGGCAAAGTTAATAGGAGTTTGTCTATGTTGTGATTTGTATAATATTCGTGTAATTCTCCTTTTTTCCTTTGGGTAAGCATAGGTTCATTTTTTCAAATATTATATTAGGTTAAATTATATTAAGTTTGTTGTAGGGGCAGGCTTAATTCTCCTTACTTTGCTGCCTGAGGATATCCTTATTTAAACCAAAGTAGTTGTCTACATTGGAAAGTGCCAAGTGACATGATATTAGGTCAAACTTTCTTGTGAGATGAATATTTCCACGACACACAATTTATTATGTATAAATGCAGGTTGCGAAAATCACAAAAGATGGAGTAACAATTTTTCCACCCTATGCATTGATGACTTTTTCGAATTCCTCCGCTTTCGAAAATCCTACCCTCAGCGCTGAGGGTTCATGGTAGCTCTGATAGTTTCAAAATATGCGACGGTTTTATTGAATTTCATTTGATCACATGTTTTAAACATAGACCAGTACCACCTTTGTATTGGCTATTTCGGCATCCTTGGAAACCTTTTGGATATCTTGCTGTGTATTACATCCATGAACTGGAGCTATTATGTTATTCTGAGTCACTGGCTTTTTTACAAAGTTTCCCGTTGCCTTTTTCTAAGTTTTGAGATGCATAAAGTAGGAGGTAGATAAGGAATATGTTTGGCTAAACCTTAAAAAAAGTTCACTTATGATCCGTTTTGCATGGTTTTTACGTCTACTTTTGCTTCATGTAGAAGAGCTTTTAGAGAAAGCTCTTTTTTAAAGCACTTCATATTAACTACTGTGTTATAATGCATAATAAATGTAATCAAGAGATATTTTGGTGTGAACCATACTAAAAGTGAGTAATAGAGGAGAGATTTTAGAATCTCCTTTTGAATTTGAATATTGTTGTGTATGCCTTACTTGCAAGTTGCTAACAATTCTTATGTTCAATATACGTGCGATGAATAATTCATGGAGCATCATCTCTGCAGGTCTGGGCCTTCCTCTTAACTATTAGTTTCCATTTATTTGTCTTCCCATGTAATGCATAGGGGGAATGATGTTATTGGTTCACCATTCAACAAAGTTTCTCTTATTTTGCGATCCAGGGCTTATGACAAAGCTGCTCTCAAATCCAGTGGGGGAGATGCTATGACCAACTTTGAGCCTGGCATCTATGAGGAGGAGATAAATATAGCTGCTGGAGATGGAGGTATAGGTGCACATATATTTTCATTCTTGCTTATTGTTCTCGTTGATTTTGCATGTTTCTAAATTACCAACTGGTGAAGCATTACGAATTCTTGTAATGAGAATCATAATAAATGAAATATGTTGGAATAACTTGTTATGTATTGATTGAATAATAATGAATGTAATGAAAGTGTACAATAATACCCCTATATTTATAGACAAGATTATTCCCTGCTTCTAATAGTATTAGGAAATTGAGACTAATTGAAACTATAATCCTAATTAAATAAAAGGTAAATGTCCTATCACAACTATAGAAGAAAACTAGAAAACATAATTAAGCCTTTAAACCACATTAAAATTTTCATTTTCATTCTTTTACTCATTTTCAACCCCATATTCTTTAATAAAATAATATTTTTCATCACATCAATAATTTTTCTTTCCTTTTCAACCACACATTTTCCATCAATTTACTTTTCGAGAATATATTCTTTCAAAGTAACGTGGCTCGAACACATCCTAAAATGATAAACTCCTAGATAAGGTGAAAGTATTAATCATAGTTGTGATGTACTACTGGATAGCTAACTTGGGAGGTTTGGATTTGTCGACTTTGGATGTAGGTAGTGCAAACAGTCTTGATCTCAACCTCGGAATTTCTTTCCAATCAATTGGTCTACAAGGGAATGATAACACCAAAACTAGCGAATGGCCTGTTGGAAAAAGAACAAAGGTACTTCTATCTCATAATTGAATTGTTTAAGACTACTTCCGTTTTCATTACCGATTTTGCTTGCCAATTTCTAGATTTCTTTTCAATTGTTTAATATTACTCCCATTTTCATTACCGATTTTGGCTTCTGTTTCAGATATTATCAAACACATGCATCAGTTTTGATGGATAATATACAGATAAAGATTTTAGTAATATGCCCTATACTCTGGATGATTAATATGCTCAAATCCTTCTTTAATTTTACATGTCGAGAGCTCCTCTAATGCATATCTTCTCGCAAGTATGCTCCTATGTGGACTAGTGTGTACCCCGATTTTACACTAAACAATATGGTAATTGTTTAGTATTTTCTACATTAACCTCTTCTTGACATAAAGATTATTAAAAACTACAGTTCCACTCGATCCTGTTGAACTATAGGAAATTTCATCAAATTGAAGTATCACATCTGCAGAAAGAATAAAATAAAATAAATTAAGACAATATAAACTAGCATCTACAATTTTTAAAATTTCAATTTTCCTTCATCTACTTTAGTTTATACAATCAAGCTTTTCCTGCACTGATCTCTGGAAATACATTGTTATGGCTGAAGAATACATTTCTCACTTCACCTCAAAAGAAGGCTTGTCGTAATGCTTGAAGTGTGCAAATTTTTAGTACTTTATTGTTAGAAATTTAATTTCTCCTTCAAAGTAATTTTAACATCTTAATATCTTGTAGAACACCATCTAAAGTGGATATACAATAACAAGTTATGATATGATTTGAATTTAGTTACATTCTTTAGTTTTATATTGTACCTTTTCCCTTTTATATATGTTAGTTTTCAGGGAATACTTTACTTGAAGGAAGTCTATAATTTCTTTTATGTTGTTTTATGAAAGAGTACTCGAGAAAGGCCTTTGACTGATGGACCTTAATGTAATAAACACAAACCCTCAGCCTCACACCATTGTTGAAAGCTCTTTTATAGTATAGTCAGGGCTCGTTTCTTTCTTTTTGTACTTTCTCACTTTTATTCTCTATTTTAGATCTTAGTCATTTTCCATTTCATTGGGAATATTCTTAGGGTGATATCAATTAAGACACGAGTAAATCAACTTAGTTTGGTAATGTTAGCACGATGCTTGCCATTTCCACCCACCTCGAAAGTGGAGAAAATAGAGAAAAAGTTGTGCCAAAACATAAAAAACATGATTTTACATTAAGAGTAAAACATTGACAATTCTGTTTTCAGATTGGTAGGAAAGAGCTACAGAAATGAATACAGAAGCCAATGCTTTGCCCATATTCTGAAATTTGACATGGAAAATGCAAAACATTGGTGTCGTCACCCCAGTTCCACTGTTGTCTTTTGCACCATCATCAGGATTCTCTTCGGCTACCCTTCCTCATTCAAACTCTGTTGTGTCATTGAACATCTCAACTACAATTTCGTGCAACACTTTACAGCTCCCTCCAACAACCCTTGACTACAAATAGTGTCGAACCATCATATCAAGTGCAACAGGTTCTCTTTAGTCTGTTTTAAAACTCTACTATCAAAGAAAGTTGCTTCAATTACTATTTTTTCTTCGATCATGCATATAGTACAACGCATATATTGAAAACGCTTGATGTGATTGTGGTCTTCAGTTGGCTGCTTTTCTTTATTAGAAATGGGCATTGGCGTTATAAAACAACTTAGTTACTAAGACTTCATTGGCACAAACATGATATCGTGTACCATATGTTTGGTATTGATGTTCTTCGTAATTATGCCTAACGTATCGTTTGTATGTAATGTCAACTGCCAGGAAATTATTCGGTCTTCCTTTGGCTAAATATTTCACGTTGAATTTCATTCTGGTTGATTAAGAAATAGGATGTGTTGAATATAAAGAACTATGAGGGTACTCATGTTTCCATCTGGCATGTTTATTGAGGAACAATTCCTTATGTTTCGCCTTTTCTGATATGATGAGATTCTATAGCTTACGTTCTTAGTTTCCTAGAGCAGAAATAGGCTGCATTTAAATATTTGGGATGTTGACATTACCTTACTTATAGTGCAATCTTCAGAAAAAGATTTCGTCCAAAGTTTGTGTAAAATAAATAAAAATCACTCCACACTATAAGTTAGCAAACTAAACTACAACACATGAGCGAGTTTTCCATCCTGCACACGTGCCGCAATTACCTATCGTCAACTCTTACGGCGTCATTTTTGCTCATTTTCATTTCATTCTCAAAATTCGGCAATGAAATTGAGCAAGCAATCGAATTTTGTTGGTTTGAAGTTTCATCATCTCCAGATGGGGGTTATGCCACCTACCAAGTTTTATTTGTTTCAACTTTTAGCAATCCAGTTTTTTTTTTTCGTTTTAACTTTCAAGTTTTCTATTGAAAAAGTTTTGCTAAATAAGATTTAATTAGTGATGCCTTCAAAATAATTACAAATCAGTCAACACTATTACGTAGCCAACTATACTACGTCAAGTGTCTTGCATGTGCGCTCACTAGTTCTCAAACAAGGTTATCCTTTAAAGGGAAATTATTGGTTTAATAAATTGAGAAAATTAATAGAAAGATTAATTTCTAAAGCTAAAAGAAAAATTATTAAATTAAAAAGAATGTTATTATCTTCAAAAGATAAACCAAAATTACACCATCAATACATAGTATGCTGCTAGTTTAGAAAGTGTACGCTACATATCAATGTGATTCTTTTACAACAAACCTGAACAAGAAAAAATACATAGTATTTCCACACAATTCTGCCCTACTCGAATTTAAATTACAAATTTACATGATCCCAATTCCATAAAAAAGATGTAGTTACAACCAAAATAATGTCACGATTCCTCAATATGACATCGTATTTCTATTGATTTCGAAAAGATCGGTGGTTGATGAAGAAAAACCTGCATCTGTATGTATTGTTATTGAATTTTGAGTTAAGCTTCCGCTGGAACTTCCATTTTGCATCTCGCGATGGAAGTCTTTCATGGCTTTAAACCTCATATCATCATTATGCATACTTCCTTCCGGGATAACATCTGGAATCGCCATTTGTTCTTCAAGCATTTGAACTACCTCGGACATTGTAGGCCTGATGGATGGTGTTACGTTGGTACACAGGAGCGCTATTTTCACCATTCTTCCTACTTCCTCTTTGTTTACTCGAGAACCCAACCTTGGATCAACAAGTTCGTCTACATTTTTACTTTCTTGCAAGTGAGAAGCCTGCGATATAATAATGTTGTAATAAAACAGTTAGCAAAAATTTTGCAAGTTATCATGCAAGTGTGGTACAGAATATGGAAGTACAGTGAAATGAAAGAAGTAAATGATCTTTTTATTACCCAATCTAGAAGGCAAACAAAATTGTGGCTTGGCATGTAATTATTGTTGCTTTTGCCACTGACAATTTCCAAAGCCACAACTCCGAAGCTATAAACGTCCACTTTGTCGGTCAGATAACCCCACAATGCATATTCAGGTGCCATATATCCTCTGCAATCAAGACGAGAAATACATAGTTGTGGTGAGAATTACGAGTATATTTCAAGGTAAAAGGTATAAATTACAATTGATCGATATTTGTATAAATGGGTTGAACTCACATTGTTCCAGCAACTTTAGTGCTAATATGAGTCTTCTCGTCTTCGTTAAGCCTAGCCAATCCGAAATCCGATATTTTCGGGTTTAGATCTCTATCTAGCAACACATTAGTGGCTTTAATGTCTCGGTGAACTATTTTAAGTCGTGATTCGTCGTGAAGAAAAGCTAATCCTCGAGCAATTCCAATACAGATCTTGAACCTTGTTGGCCAATCAAGCAATAATTGGCTTTCATCTGAATCTGAACGTTCTCCAGAACCAGAACAATGCCAGATATTACTATTGGGAGAAATTGAAAATGCAAACGAAGATGTAGTGAATAAGCAAACACTTACTGAATAAAACATGAGCAAGGCTATTATTTTCCAAGTACTCGTACACTACCAGCAACTGATCTCCTTCAATACAGCATCCATACAGTTTGACGAGATTTGGGTGTTGTAAACACGAAATCATGCCAATCTCGTTCAGAAATTCACGGTTTCCTTGCCTTGATCTAGAAGAGAGCTGCTTCACAGCGATTACGGTACCATCATATAGTTGACCCTGCACAAGTTAGTTAATCAGAAATCATGAATGAGGAAACAGAAGATTGAAATTAATTATCTTTCACCAAAAACAATACCTTGTACACGGGACCAAAACCACCTTCTCCGATCTTGTTTGCAGCATCAAAGTTGTTAGTGGCAGCTTTAATTTGCTTTAAACTAAAAGCAACTGTCTGCAATTCTAGACCTTCAAAACCTGTCCCGGTAAAAAAATAACAGTGAGGTGAATGGCCCTTGGTGTCACCATACGGCTTTGTTTTTTCATTTTTGCATTTTCGGATAGAATAAATATTCTTAGAGGTAAAGAAAACTTGAACCAAAAGACAAAAAACAAAGAATGTGCGCTATAAGCCTATAACAGATATAAAATGTGGAGAATCCGTAGAAAAGGCATAATGTACAAGAACGAAAATTGTTTATGCTCAACAAATCTTTTAAACTAAAACATTCGACTTAACTGATACACAGAAACTGAAATAACCTTCTACAAAACTGCTTATGTTTTACAAAATTATAAGCATCACCTGTTCTTGCTTGTTTTCTCCCTCCCAAATAGCATTTCCACCAAAGGATGCCAAGTATCATGAAAATAGTAAATGCTGACAGAACTCCAACTATTATATAAGCAGTTACATTCTTTTTGCTTCCATTCGAACAAATTTTGAAATCTGCACAGGAGAAAAATAGAAATTTGTGAAACAAAAATCATACAAGTGAAAAATATATCTGACTTTCTTTAAATTCACCTGCTACTAGTAGGTTATGCATTTTCCAACATTCATGCATCAAACAAAATATTGGCACCATGGCTACTACAAATAAACACAAATAGATAAAAAAAAAATTGCACTAGTTTAAGTATATTTTGGAGGTCCAAGTCATTCAAGTGTAATTTGAACTTTGGCTTCTCTGATATGTACTCCATGAGTATCCATAAAGTTGTTATCGACAGCTTAAAAAATGAAATCAGCAAATTCCCAGGGACATTTTTAGATACATTTAACGCATAAGAAAACTATACTGTATAAATTTGATAACTTGGGGGGTCATTGAGCAGATGGATACAGTTATTCAATTCAAATTTGCATATAGCACTTGAGCAGACAAGAGATGTATTAATGACCTTAGATCCTCTGTCATTTGTCAAAGTACAGTGAATTTAACTTGCAAATGGAGTTTATCTATGAGGCCAGTAGTTAAGAAGGAAAGATGATCCAATTTTTATCCACATATCTTTTGAGATTCAATTTTCTTTGTTATCATCAGATCAAGCATTATATCTTGTGCAGAAGCCTGAGAAATCTAGCTGTTCACAATTTTCTGGAACAAGCAACATATACACTTTATAGCTGGTAACCTTGTGTAAAACTGAGAGAAGCATCAAGCTAATGAGCAAGTTAAAGACCTTAGAAAAATGAACAAACCACATTGAATAATTCTCCTAAGAGAATAATTTTTAAAAAAATAATCATTACGCCCTTGTTTGATTTTTATTCTTCTCAAAATCACTTTTCCTCAATCTCATTTTTCAGCCATATATTCTTCCAAGAAAATAATTTTGCATGTGGACTCAGAATGTTATTTTTTTACCACACATTCTCCAAAGAAAATCTTTTCACAAAATCACTTCCCAAAAAATAAAAATCAGACAAGGGCTAAATAAGAACTTTATATATATATATATAATATCGTCAACACCGTTTGTATTCTTTTTAGGAGGTTGAGCACACAAACTTTCATAAATGGGTAGCAATGAGATTTAATCCCAAAACCTTTACCCACTCTTTTATCATATTGAATGAGCACGTGCATCTAAAAGCTTTAACAAACTAAACAAAAATTAAACTTTTTTAACAGCACAGGATAACAGAAGTTCAGAATTTAGCATATCTAGTTTCTTATACTATTTGATTGCACATTCATAAATTAACAAGAAACAAGGACGAGATTACAAAAAGAAATTGTTGACTACTCACTTGGATTAACCGAAATAGCTGATACAAGGGAACCATAGTCTCCTCTATTAGGAATTCGTGCAGTCCCTCTGCTAGCCCAGTAAAATCGGATCTCCAAGCTATTATCTGTCACTGTGACATTAAAATGTCTAGTCACGGGCCTTTGTGCTCCTCGAGCTTCATCAACAATGTTAAAATCTTTCCTGACTAATTTTTCCTGAGATTGATTGAAAGAGGATTGTGAAAACGATATAAGTAAATTGGAAAAACATTTTTTTAAGTTCTATTAACACACGTACACACTACACAGTTGTAGAAGAAAAAGAAATATACAAACTACCTGGATGTAAATATCAAACATCCGCCTTCCAAGACTGTAATATGTATTGTCATTGGTGAAAAGTATTTCAGCAAAGTGCAGGCTCACATTGTAACTACCATCCTCCAGGCAATAATGAAAATATGTAAGTGACAGAGGATTAAGACGTGCTGTACTATACAAATCAGGGAGATTTGTTTTTGCTGTAGGTCTGATAGCACGTGAATTTTGATAAATAGGCTCGTCCATGAAGTCCCCTGTGCCAGTGAAGCCCCAATGACTACTACTTAAGTATCCAGCAGAATCACCATACACATCTCCTTGATAAATAACTCTTCTATTGCTTTCTTCTACAGTTAAATCATCCCCACCACAATTAACATGTAGAGAACACTGATCTACAACAATAAAAGCTTTTCTTGGTAAAGTATGCAATTTCTTGAAGGTTTAACAAAGCAATGGCAAGTAACTGAAATTCTTATAAAAGCCCATTAACCAAATAAAAAAAAAATCTTGTTTATACATAATTGCAAAGGAGAAGGCGGAATCTCAAATTGCTAAACAAAATACTTGTTCAAGGTTAATGATTTTAGGGCCAAAACAAAAAGTATGATATATTTTAGGCTCAGCATAACTTCAGTTTTTGGGACAAGATAGGAATCCTATGAGTGAGATTAGCCAATGAAGAGCATGTTTGGCAAAGCTTAAACTATTTTTTTGAAACTGGTCAAACATTCTTTTTATCCACACATTTTGTAGGATTCACAACTTATTACTCTTATTATCTACACATTTCGTAGGATCACAGCTTATAAGAACTTAAAAGCACTACCAAACAAGGAAAATTTTTCCAGTAGTAGTATCTTAAGATGAAGATGGATCCCTAGTATGAGGTTGCAGAGGGTAAAAGGAAAGAACGAAAACTTCATTATGATATTGAAATAAAATAAAGCAATAACTCACGTTAAAGGTCTTCAATGTTACTATTTTCAATAAAAAGTTAATCCCATTCTATTTTTCTACAATGGATTAAATAGAATTGTGAAATGATACTTAAATTCATTTCATTCACAAAACTGGGTATACATGGAGCCTTTGAAAATTTTTACAACAGCCATTTTTGGTTACGACTATATGTCAATGCTAGAAAACCATGCATAATCTACATCAACAGTATTGACATCACGATTCATAAGACAGTCACAAAAAAGAACTAATTACACATAACATCAATGGCAATATGAAAGTCTACTTAACCATATAAAGAAAAAAGAGAACATACATACATCTAGGGCAGGCTACATCTTTGGTGCAAGGAAGCATCTGCTGTCTGTTGCTGGTTGAGCATGGAATCAATTAGAATAAGATGTTCATGATTCGGTGATAAAACTGTTTTATAATTGCAACTTACTTTCTTCCCTGCATTGAACAGTATATTTACCAAGATCAGAAACAAGAAAATGCATCTTACCTCATGTTTAACGTCAATGAGCTCTTGAACAAGTTAACGTTGCGATCCCTACTTGAGAAAATTAGGCAGCAACAAAAAGTTGTAAACATCATAGAAATTGCATGCTGATTAAATTATAAAAGAGGAAATAAATAAATTTGCTAACATGTTTTGTTGACAAGCAGGTTGATCTGGGCCTTGAAAAGTAAAATTATTGTAAGAAAGATCACTGCACAAAGTGAATAAAGGTGGGTGTCATCATTAGATAATTCAAATTATGCATATGTACTAACAAGCATCTTATACGTTGTGAATGAAGGCAACAAATGAAGAAATTAGTTGGCCAAAAAAATTCTTTGCCTCTGAATTTGACTCGATGACAATTAAGAAGGGAATAAAGTTCAAATAAAAGTGAACATGCATCTAGCCTCTAGGGATCAGTGACATGAATTGTTATTTGTCATTATGTTCGACCCAATGCTATTGACTACTTCAATCACATCCATACTAAGTCATAAATATCCTTGACAATATTGATATATCAAATTTAAACTCCATTATTCTATATCACGCACCACAATCAATAGGCTCTCTACTAGTAATCTAGAAATAGAAAGAAACTATATGCAGAATATCCAGCAAGTTTAGTGACAAATAATGTACATACATGTTGCCTCCATCCTTCAAGATAGTATCAGGTATATTTCCACTCAGCATGTTGCCAGTAACGAACCTGTTTACAAAAATATCATAGTGAGTATGCAAGTAGTGGGTAAGGCAGTGTCCTGTTTTAACTCACATTTACTGTAAAACTGCAGACACTGATGGCAAAACCAACCAAATGAAGCAAAAGAATTTAAGTTGGACTCACACAGTTTTCAGTTTTCTTGCAATGTCTCTTGAAATCTCCCCCTCTAACTTATTGAAACTGACATCCCTGTTCATATTTTATAATGAAGAGATAATTAAGAGCAGAGACATTCTATATACATCTTATGAAGTCTGCAATTAACTAGATGAAAGATCCATGGAGAAGAAAGAACACAAAAACACGGTCTTTTAATATCCACGGTAAGGTGGCTTAATACATTAAATTTTCAGCAATGAGAAGAACTCTAGCCAACCAGAATCATTCTCAATAGAGAAGATTCATGAAACTAGTAGTCAAGTCTGCTTCTGTGGAAGCAATAGTCCAGGTATCCAATGACCGAGCAATTGAAAGAGGCAAGAAGCAGGCCAGTAACAGATTTGGTTATTTAAATGATGCCAAAAAATTGTTGACCATCATTTACACAAGAGACAACCGTATATACAAATTAAGAAGCTAATATTTATTTTAAATTGTAGTTTGGTTACTCACAGCATTTGCAGCTCTCTAAGTCTCCAAATATATGCAGGGATTTTTCCAGAAATGTTACAGTTTCTCAACACCCTAAATCAAAGAATAGAATACTTTAGTAATATAGAGAGCATGAAGGATAAACAAGAACACTTTCCATGTGAAATATTATTCAGCATACAGGGTTTCTAGGGCTGTACTACTCCTCAGCATAGGAAATTCCTGAGTAGGTCCTTTTATGTCACTAATTCTCCTGCAAAAGGAAATTCACCCAAAAACTCTTGTAAGCAGAGAAGTTGCACTAAGAGAAAAATACAAAATATGTAAAGTGAAAAGGCCAATCAATCCACTGAGGTGGTCTACTTACAAATCAGTTAACATAGTCAGAAGAGATATAATTGAAGGAATGGGCCCCTCTAATCCACTCGCATGCATTTCTCTTCATTGATCATTTAAACAGAGAAAATATATATATTGTGAATAAACAATTCATCTATTGAATCTTCAAAAAACAATTTTCGATATATAAAAATCTTACAGTTCATTAAGCTGCTTCCAGTACTGAATAAGGTTGGGTATTGGTCCACTTAAGCTATTATAACTTATCCTACTGCAGTAGAAAAGGAAGCACTGTTTGAAAATGGCAAAAAAATTTCAAACAGTGAATTGCCAGAGATAGAATATATGCTTACAAATCAATTAAATTTGTTAGTCTTGAAAATGATGCTGGCATATTCCCAATCAATTGATTGGCAGACAAGATCCTGCAATCAATTATTTGCGTATTAGACTAAAACAGTCTAATGTTGTTCTGTACATCATAAATCTATTATCACATTTATAGCACATAATGCATAAGAATCATCAGATCTTACAGAGTTTTCAAGTTCATTAATTTCCCAAGTTCTGGTGGAATAGGCCCTGAGAATTCGTTTGCTTCAAGGTTCCTGATCAAATCTCACAATCAAATTGCTTAAGTGTAGAATTGGACAAGTGATTATCTTTTCTTAACCAAATACACAAAACAAAGTGAAATACAATAATATTTATTCGAGAGTTAATGAGAAGTAAACCACAGATCCATCCCCACTTGTAAGATAAATGAAAACTAATAAACTAAAATGTAAATTGCTGTCAACTAGATCATTCCTGGTGTTACCAGAACCTTACAATTTTACCCAATTACCAGACTCCAATAACCAAATGTAACACAAAAACAATTAAGGGAAGTTCAACAGAAGACATACATGTAAGTGAGATTTGTCATGTTTCCTAATTCCCTTGGTATTTGCCCTGATAACCGGTTTACAAGAACAGAGCTGCGCCAAAATTCTGGGATTACATTCAGTTCTCCAAGAAATCATTAACTATTATAATTAAGCCACTAGTACAAAATGGAGAATACATGGAATTCAACTGTGTTGTAGCCCATTCATGTGGGATTGTACCAGTGAAGAGGTTGTAGGCAAAATCACTGTAAGCAAAATGTTAATTAAAATGTACATGAGTTTTCCCATATGGCATAACGCTAAATTCAATATAAACCAGTTTAGAGGCCTCTTACACAAATTCGAGGTAGGGGAGCTGCACAAGTTCGGGTGGAAGAACTCCAGGAAGATTAAAACTCTTTATAATACTGCAAAAAGTGGATATGGAATTAAGCATTAAGCTCCATATCAATATAGGAGAAAACTTATAACGGGACTATACCTCTTCTAAGATAAAATGGGAATGCAGATAAAATNTGATGTACTCTTAGCATTATTCTATCAATATAGGAGAAAACTTATAACGGGACTATACCTCTTCTAAGATAAAATGGGAATGCAGATAAAACAAAAATTCATTCTTTCTTTGCCTTAACAGTAATAATGGAATAACATCTTTAAATTTTATGAAGCTTAACTATAAAAATGAAGAGCGTTGAAATGAATTATATTTGTTGCTGCTCTTGACAAGCTGGAACTACCCAAATCCTTATGAACCAACCACCATCCTTTAATGACTAATTGTAATGTGACAACAACTTTCCATTCAAAGCAAGGCAAGGACATCACAAATGATCATACATGGTCCATTCCACAAATCCAAGCTCATCACAGTATTAGTATCTACCCGGGGCCTTACAACCAGTTATACTACTCACACAGCCAAGGTGATACGTGGTGTAGCAGTGCCTAGTAATGTTCTTCATGCCCTGAATTAGTTAGGCCTTGAACAATTTACCATGTTTTAAGAAGCAATTAAAGCAAAACAAAGGGTGACATGTATACTAGACTTGGTTGCACCCACTTCAATTAGTTGTTCGAGGTGGAGGCCAGAGCCTATTGTGTTTCACAAATACACATGCAAGGAATTTATTTTCATGGGGTTCTTACTAATCAACATAGATCAATCAAAGGTCTCCAGTGTGAATAATGTAATGTACAATGAGATGAATATTTGATTTTAGTACACAATGCTTTTAGCTAATAGTAATAACTATAAAAATTTATTAAATTACTGTATAAGATATCAAAAGAGACAGTACAGCTTCTGCATACAACTGAAATTATATAGGAAGTGATAAAGAGGAGGAAACTATACATTTTCGTGATATGGCAGACAGTTTTGTTATTAAAGTTGCAGTTACATTCAACATAACCCTCAGACGCAATTGGTGGCGGCCATGGTATAACAGATACCACTTCACATGTATCAGCATTGAAGCTCCAGTTTGTTGCGCCCATTGTAGTAACAATTTGTCGAAGAGCATTTACTAAGAGATATCAATGGGAATAGTATCAAACAAAGAATTATTGCACGAGCCAAACTTTTGATGGAAAAGTATCAAACAATGACTCATGTATTGCAGGAGCCGAACTTATGATGAAACAATCAACAGCAGATTGCATGAGACCAACTTGGTAAAATGACCATAAAATTTTCAATCCAAGTGAATTTCAACTTCGTGAACGAGTTAAACTGTAAAGGTTTAATGCCTAGATTATTTGTTTCTGACTAAAATATTATAAGGCAAGTGAACAGAAGACACAAATTTCGAGGGATTTTTCTAATTTTAATGTTTAAGATAGATGTTCATCTATTTCAACTAACAGTTGCAAGTTTTATAATTTCTGTTTCGATTTTTCGCCCATTTGAGAATCTCTATTTCATCAAATTCCTCAAGTGACTTCGCTCAATGTTTCAAAATGACTAATATATATGTAGTTTGGTTAACAGTAGTAAATTACATCTTCACAGCCAACCCAAACCATATTTCCAGTTACTGCTTTCCACAACAAAGTAGAATCCCACATCATAAAAGTATAAAATAAACAAGCAGGAAATAAATTCAGACCTTTTAATTGCAAACTTATCTCTGTTCATCAATATTTTATTCTTTTTCTTCTTAGCAACACTTTCCCAGAAAATAAACTGGAAGGAGGAATTTAAAACTTAAAATGAACACTGATCTGAATTCTCCTTTACTCATCCATTCAATTTTTCTTCCAGTAACCGGAAAATAACTCCATGTTCGCAAAGCAGGAGGGGAAACTCAACTGCTCACCTTCTTCTCGAGGCACCTGCGCCTGCGCCTGCTCCTGCGCCTGCGCATTGAAACAACAAATTGCAAGAATCCACGCAACAACAGTGCTTCTGTGCAGCATCTTCAACTTAAAGCACTTGAATCTTGTACAAACAGTAGATAAAAAAGGAGTAATTTTTCCTGCTAGAATTTGATCCTGATTCACTATAAAACCGTCAATCAACCGGGTGGATAGATATATAAAACGAAAGGAATAACGGTTCAAACAGGAACCCAAAGAATTTTTTTTGAATAATCTGAACCCAAACGGGTGTATTCTTTGACTATTTATATCCTAGTGGTACATAGAGCGTGTTTGGGAGCAATTCTTGTGGGATTTTAATCAAAATTATAGCCGTTATAGTCAACCTGTGGGGCCCACCTGTGAGAGGGAAAGTCAAAATACATGTAACATATTTTATTAATTATGTATCTTTAACAACTTCGATTTTTCTAATGTTCAAGAAAACCACTTTCGGTTTCCCATTGAATCATACGTTGTGCGGTGATAAGATGCTTGCTTTAATTAATATCCACAATTAAATATATTTTAAAACTTGGATTGTATATAAAAATATTTTTTAAAAAACAATTTGCGAGCTGGATCCACACGTGTCAATTTGTAGTTAAGACATATCCATGCAACCTGACAACTTTTGAATGTTGAATATTATGCAAATGAAGTTCTAGTTGCTTCTTGCTTGTTGATTACAAGAAAAATTATTACTATTTTCAACAATAAAATGAAAAAAATATTTTTTTTATGTGATTGCATAGTTACAAAGATGCTTTGCTTTAGGAGAGTTTTTTGAAGTTTTTGACATTGGAGGTTATTAAGGTTATAGTTTTGTTTGTGGAAAGAAATTTTCCTAAGTATGTTTGACAAAAAAAATTAGAGAAATGCTATTCATTTTCTATTCGATGAATATCAACATGTGATATATTATTAAATGATTAAACTAGTAAAATATATCTAATATTCATACATTTAATTGATCATATAGATCCATGATTATCTCTGATTGAGATAAACTAACTGACTTTTGAATATAACTAAATATGCTAATAATCGCACGTTGTCAATGTTCACACGGCTAAATCTTCGTGATTATATATGTTGAGATACGTTGAATAAACAATTAAAAAATATTAAATAAATAAACAATTAAAAAAAGTTTAGTGTTTTTAATAATACATACATACAAAATATGTCCTATAAATTTAATCAATCAAGCATATGATAATAGAAGAAAAGTACACGTAAATGGTCATTTTGCATTTTAACACCTGTGCTTTGTCACCTTTCTTTCCTTTTCAATTCCTTAATCAAATTTAATTCTACTGTTGTCGTGTTTTTTTATTCCTAAATATATAAAATATTTTAAATAAAGATGCATGAAATTTCTTGCCGGCTGCTATCACTGTATCAGTATTTGAATTATACCACAAGAAAATAAAATTTTTTTTAAAAAAAAAGTCTTTTTTTTTTTCAGTCGTAAAGGTCTCTGTCTATGCCATATTCTGTTTACGTTGAAAATCAGATTTATTCATCCCAATATGAAAATGGATGAGCAGAGCAGTCTTTAAGCAAATTTGTATTATTCAAAACCAAAGAATAGAGCAGTATACAGTAAACGGGAGACTATTTCAGTCAGAGCCAACTTGTCAACCTTTGAAATTTATATGTCTTTACGTTCACTCATCCCGGCTGGCTAATTTTAATTCCCAAGTAAATTTACTTTTCTTTTTATGTTAGGAAACTTCGTGCTTGTTCGTCGGAGTTTATAATTGTGCAGCGACGTCGAATAAAAAATAAATGGAAAGGGTTCAAATGTTTAAGATAGTTATATAAAGGGACTAAAAAAAATAAAAAATAAAAAAATAAAGTTGACATGAGAGTTTTTTTAGTAATGTTATCCATCAACATGTTAATGATCAACCCTCCATATGACAATGAGATAGCTAAAACATTTTCTTATAAAATTGGAGCGCATTTTAATTCATTGAAGAATGTGACATTAACCACACTGCCATATTTGATGTTCACCATCGACAATGTATTGCTATTGTTCAAAAAACATAGGCATGTGTTTGAATATAAAAAATATTTGAAAGTAATTTTAACCCTTATATAGCGAAGATTAAAATCAGATTTTTAGCAATTTTTGATAAAAGTTAATGAAATGTGTGATTGAAAAATTGTGAATTTCATGAAATATATGATTAAAATTAATTATTCACTTTAGTAAGAATATAGATTATAATTTCTATCAAACAGGGGCTTATTTTTTCAGTTTGCATATTTATGAATTGCTAGGGGCCGCTGAACCCACTCAATTTTCAGATTTCCCAATTTTTCTTCAAATTTTCGAATTTTTTTTTTTTCATTTTTTTGTCCAGTTTTTTATTTCAAGTTTTTTGGTTTCGCCTCTACTAAATTTCATTTGTAAGTCTGCACATGTGAATTGCAATTGTTATTTGGCCACAAAACTAGTCAATTCAAACTCGACATATGGCATCATGTGGCGGCCCCCACTCAATTTTTAGATTTTCCAATCTTTCTTCAAATTTTCAAATTTTTTATTTTCTAGTTTTTTGGTCCAGATTTTTTAAGTTTTCAGATTTTTTTCAAGTTTTTTTGGTTTCGACCCCACTGAATGAACCGCCCATGTGATTTGCAATTGTTATTTGGCCACAAAACTAGTCAATGCAAACTTGTTTCGAAATGTTTTTGGATATTTGTGAACCAAGGGGGGATGCTCAAGCGTCATATGCAAGGAAACAAGGAGGAGGAGGTTTCACACAAAATCTGTTAACCGTGGGAATGGGACGTTGGTTGCACGGTACGTACCAATTCCGAATTACAACAATGACTTTGACATTAATTGCATTCTCAATAGGCTTCAAAGAAAGGGGAATTTATATGTCAATTTCATTTGTTAAAACTATGCGTTTATTATTCCCAGTGACTCTCTTCATTTTGAGTGTTCATATTTGTTGAAGGATATAATTCTATATTGAATAAGGAAGTAAATATAGACACACTTATAAAGGATTTGAATTTGACTACTCATATTAATAAGGTTGACCCAAATCTTAACATGGTATCAGAGTCCATAAAATTTTAACGAACAATTCGATTTGATTAAGACTCAAAATAAATGAGCAGATCAATCTTGCGGGGATAATATCTCACATCGAATAAATATGAAAATATAAACCAGTTTATAAATGATTTGATTGTTTCTCTTAATAATGTTGACTTTTTAAAATGAAATTTCACGTTTTAACAATATTTTACACCTACGTGTAAGGAATAATGCCATCTAACATCAATTTATATGGCATTATATGATATGTTCAATTACAAGTGAAATTATGGAAGTCATTTAATTGAATTTACCATTTAATGTCATTAAACCACTAATATTCTAAATAACACTACTCGCAAGTTGTGAGTCGGCTTTCAATCATGTTCCCATTGATTTGTTTATTACTTTGATAATATTGTGTAGCAGTATTTAAATTAATAATTGTATACTAAAAAAGAGAATAAGATTTAAGATTGTCTTCTAATCAAATCTAGTGGGATTTCTATTGCATGTGTCTAATCATTTTTAATTCCAATCAATTGTTTCAAATGGTATAACAAAATCTTGAAAGATTTAAACCCAACCCACAACCACAACATAACGGAAGCCAAGAATAAAGCCCCAACCCGCACGTTTCAATGTATTGGGCCTTAAGGTTCCATTTAGGAGGGGGAAATTACACAAATATGAGGAAAATAAGGGGTGAGTTGGTAATTATTAATTGTTATTGAATATTACAGAATTACAATATTGATTGGATTTTAAAGAAAAATTCGGCAATCACAATACGTGTACACTGTATGTAAT